ACAAGTAACATGAGCTAGGGATTCGAACCACCGAACTGCCAACCTTTCTGATTGACAAGCTCAGCATCTTAGCCACTGAGCCACCCCATCCCTTGAGCAAGGAGACTAGGGAGGATCTAAAATTCCCACTGGGAAACATTAGGTTAAAAGTTGTAGAAACACCTCCCTCTGTCCAGTTCCAGACGAGCCAATCCACAGATGTGAAGTTGTTGTGAGAACTTCGAGCTGAGAAGACAATAAGTGGTTCTCAGATAAGTGGTTCTCAGGCATCGGGTACTCTTCTCTCTGGGTACTCCTTTCTCTGGATCCGAGACAAAATAGATGGCGCCAGGCTCATTCCTCTTCTCCCCCTCCCTTTCCCAGGAAGGTACATCAAAGTAAAGACCAGAACTGGGAAAGATCATAAAATTTCACTGGAGGGGGGAAGCGCTCCCACCGGGATGGCAGCATTCCGATAGGGATCTATGTGCACCTGACGCTATCCTTTGAGTCCTTGCTGCTGATCCTCCTCCTTTTTCTTGATACCTTTCCTAGTTTAACAGACTTTTCCAAAAGGCTCAGGCTTGTTCAGCTTGCTATCGTACTCTAGCAAAGGTTCTGGTATGTGACAGCTTAAATATTTTCCATAATGATGGTTTATCTTTTCCAGGGTGATCATGAGGAGTTCAACCAGTGCCAGACACAGTTGAAGTCTCTTTATGCAGAGAATCTTCCAGGAAATGTTGGAGAATTCACTGCTTACCGTATTCTTTATTACATTTTTACCAAGAACTCTGGAGGTGCGTGTGGGGATGTTGGGAGAGAGACTTTTGAGGCTAGTCTTTGAATTTACTTCAACATTTGAGAATCCTTATGTTGTGTAGAATTTCTGACAAACAGTCTAAATAAACCTTTTGGCCATGTTGTGATCTTTGCCTGTTTAACCCAAGCGATGTACAGAGGTTCCCAGACTCTGTACCTCTTCCTCAAAACATTTTTCCCAATAATAGCTAATGTCAGTCACTTTAGGAGACTTAAAATTCTAGACAAGCTTTGGGGGAAGATAATTTTAAATACTAAAGTGGATTTAATAGAGCAGATCAAACCCAATCAGGTGTAAGTCTTAAAGCAACGAAGAATGAATATTTTAGCCTGAGTCAGTTCATGATGAAAGTACTGGTCATCCTTGAGTAACAGCCCCAATTGAAATTGGAAAATTATTTGTTAAGCCAGATATCACATGATCTCAATTTGCAAACTTTCCTGCTGGCTTCTCCATTTATTTTTCTTAATGGAAGCTGGCTGGTAAGATTGCAAATGATGATCATGTGACCCTGGAACTGCAACTGTTACAAAGATAGCCAGTTGGAAAGTGTCCTGGTTACAATCATGTGACCACAGGGATGTTGTTACGATCGTAAATGCAAAGACTAGTCGTAATTTGCTTTTTTCCAGTAGTGTCGTAATATTGAATAATTGCTAAATGAGTGGTCATACGTTGGAGAATGCCTGTAAGTGAGAAACAGGTTAATTTGTGAAATTTTTGGGGTGACTTGCCTTTCTCCCTCCTGCAGATATCACAACTGAGCTGGCCTACCTGACAAAGGAGTTGAAAACGGACCCTTGTGTGGCACATGCCCTTGCCTTGCGAGCTGCCTGGGCCCTCTCCAATTACCACCGTTTCTTCTGCCTGTATCGCCAGGCCCCTTGCATGTCCGGCTACCTCATTGACAAGTTTGCTGAACGAGAGAGGAAAACGGCCCTCAAAGCCATGATCAAAACGTATGTGGAGCTGAACCAGTCCTCAGGTTTAAATGGGAGGGGGATGCCTCACACCTGCACACTTCCCTCCCGTTCCACCTTTGTTGCAATGTCTAGCAAAGGGGCAGATTAGTGTCCAGTAGTAAGAAGTGGGTCAAATGGGGTACTCTTTTCAGCCACTTCAAGGAAGGTGTCTGTGCCCTGGGCAGGTAAGTACAGCGGTTGCAGTCTAGTTAGGCAAGCATTCCAGATGTTTAATTATAAACTGGCTTGGCTGTCCTTCATGACCAGGTCGCTAGAACTTTGTTGATTCGCCTGGATAGAAAACAAATTCTTTTGCAGAAATATTTGACTCCGAAATGTGAATCTAGAAGTCATGTTCATTTGAAAAATGGTTGTAGTTTTATTTGGGTACCTGACGATTAAGTAGTTTAGGGGCTGAGCGAGAAACTGGGAGATTGTGGGTTCTAATCCTCCTTTAAGCACGGCAGGTGATTGGAAAGTCTCTCAAGTTTCCTCGCAGGATTATGCTTATGGGGGAAATAGGAGGCGGGAGCATTGCATACGCTGGCTTGAGTTTCAGAGATAAAGGTGAGATATAAATTAAGTAGTAAAATAAGCCATTAGACAAAGCAAAGCTAAACTGAAAATACGTGGTTGTGGGGAGAATCAGAGTAGACCTCAGGTTGCCTTCGTGGTTTATGCTTTGCTCTTCCATTTTATGCTTTGAATGTTCATCTTGGTTCTCTCACAGCCTTAAGTTAAGAGCCAGTCTCTCCATTTCTGGCCTTTTCCATTCCCACATTATGGGCAGATAAGATAGGGAGACAGGGACGCAAGGTGCTGTACCGATGCTTGGCCCTGCCGTAGAGATGGTCCAGCCCCCTCCCTCCCCCGGTGGTTGGATCAAGGTAGCTTTGGTGCAGAAAGGAACTGTAGCCTAGGAGCAAGAAATCGCCAAGACACAGGAGCAAAATGTTTCGTGAATGATAAAATCTCTAATTTTGTATGCTTGTCTCTGGTAGTGAATAGCTAGTGACCAGGGAGGCAGGAAGAATTGAGTGTGCTCTAAATAATAATTATAAGTGTTAGTTATTCACTTAGTACTCTTCTACACCCGCTGTCCTGCTTCTTAAATTTTTTTTTAAAATAGTCTTGGTCACCAAGAATGCCATAGAAAATTATTCTGATGCAGAGTATTTCTCTACTATGTGAGGCACAACTTTTATTTATTTTTTATAATGCTATCCCTATTTGTTGTGAAGAGACATCATTTCCTTTTTTTGAGTCCAAGTCTCCTGCTCTCCATAATGAGCAAGAGTCATGACTAACTCTTTGCAACCTTTTCTTTTGGTTTGGCTAATCAGTCTTTTTTTTTTAAAAAAAGAGCACATCACACTGATATGTTATGCTGGCAGCATGATGAGCAAACACACCAAGAAAATAAATCTTACCAAAATCTTTTTTGAAATGATCTCTACTAGAGTTTGCATGAGAAATATAACAGCTTCCATTCTCAAGCATCCCAATCTGTTCGTCTCGAGTCGTTCTAAGGAGTACTTTTTTCTTTCTCCTCCCCCTCCTTTGATCCATGTTTCAGAACCATTCCATTAAAAGGTAGAAGGCAGTTTAAACTCAACACCTGTCATTTTTGTGATAGTGGCAGTGGCGATTGGTGGCGATACTCAAAGCCTCTGAATAGTGCCATCTCTCCCCTTTCCAATATAAGGAAACCCCTGAACTCTACCAGAAGTCTGTCTGGTCCAGCACTTTTCCCTCAGTGACCAACCAATATCTGTAGCCAAGTCCACAAGCAGCATATATTATATGCAGGTCCATCCCTCAATAAGTATGTCTTTGCTGCTGACATTCCGAGGTCAGTTGAAATACAGGAATGAAAAACTTGAAAGACAGGTTGACTTTGTTTCCACCTATTGCCAGGTTAACTAAAGGTAAAGAGCCACACATCAGCAGGATGTGCTGCTTGTCATAGTTTCTCCTATGCTGCCCTTTCCCATTCACCAGTGTCTTTTTTTATCTCCCTCAGTTTCCGCCCGGTGCTTCCGGTCTCCTACGTTGTGTCAGAGCTGGCCTTCGAGAGCGAGGAGGAGTGCCAAGCTTTCCTTGCAGCTCTGTCCCTTGTGTACACTAGTCCCGACGCCACCAAGATTGACTGCAAGCAGAGCTTGGCGGTCCTGGCCAATTTCTGAAAGCAGAAAAAAAAAAAGCCCACTGCCCTCTTCTAGCCTGTTTTAACATGTACATATATAGAGAGATATATATGTCTGTGTTTGTGTGTGTATATATGTATATAAAATCAGATTAACAGTTGGCTACTGTGGGCAAGCTGGGACTTGCTCTGCCACTTCACCCGCTGTCCACAACGCACTTGGATAGAAGAGGGTAAGATCCACGGACATCAGATGGCATCTGAGATCACCGGAAGCAGAAGAGCAGAGAGTTCGGTCTAAGGAGTCTTGGGGGTTTGCCAGCAACAGGGAAAGGAGATTTCAGGGAAGAATAGTTTTGCACCATTTACAATCATCTGTTCCTCCCCCCGCCCCTTCCTCTCATGTCAAGATCCATGAGTTGCTAGAGCCCCTGTCTCTCTTCCCCCCCGTAGTCTGAAATTGCCAGGATAAAAAGTTGGAAATCTGTGGAATAATTATGGGAAATGATGGAAATTGCCACCTTGTGTGTTACCATTTCTTCATTGTCGTAAGGATTCAGGAAGCTAGAAGATTTCTCCCTGAGCCACAGAGCAAACCTTAATTTATTTTTAATTATTATTATTATTTTTTGGTAAAAGTCTCACCAGGCGCTGTTTTATTCCACTTGACAGATCTGAAAAAGGCACCAGTACATTAAGCGCATATGGCTAGTTGTGAATATATGTGAAATATGGTTTTGTACAGAAGCTACAAGTTGTAAATAATACTAGGCAAATTCCTTGTTTCTTAAGAGAAAAAAAACCAACCCATGTTTTTCTACTTTTATAATGATGAATTTAACAGATGGTTTCCTCTGAAGATGAAAAGTTCAGGTTTTGCGTGCGCATTTTGTGTTCTTTATTATGCTCCTCAAAAACTAACACTGTCTCAGTTTTTTCCTCTTCCGAGCTATGGCCTGGCTATGAAAAAGCTTGAGAGATGATGCCACCTCTCCAGTCGAACACAAAAACAGCCCGAGGGGGAAAGAGCAAAGCAAAATTTGTCTTCACATATTTCCTACCAGTTCAAAGACTTTTTTCCTACTCAAAGGAGAATGTGAGAGACTTCTTTGTTACAAAACCCCGCAAGGATGTGGCCACGACAAACAAAGCAAATCCAGAGAAGGCACGGTGCGAAGCTGTGAAATCAGACCAACAAACAAGATGATCTTCACAGTCTCCTCTTCTGTTGTGTTCTGGAGTTGTCATGCTAAGTTTTTTTAATTTGTTTTTTTCTCCCTCTGTCCTCAGTTCTTTACAGGTAAACTTGAAAATGCTCCACCCATTTTCATTTTTCTCTTGTCATATTGTTTCAGTTTTGTTTTTCAAGTTTTGAAAGATTGTCCAATAATTTTTTCTGTTTTCTTTCTCTCACCCTCTCCCCTACTCTTAGTCTCTTTAGCTTCTCATAATCACCTTTCTTCCCCTCTGTTCTCCTTTGCTCTAACACCTTTTTCTTTTTGTTTTTGAACATGTGTAATTTTGGGATATTTTGGCTTGGGCTGAATTTTTCAAAGGTTCCTTTTTCCTTTTCAGAAACCTGAATTTTCTTCCATTTGATTAAAGTCAGTTTATTAAAACAGCATCATCTGCTTCAGTGTGGTGCTGTTCAAAGCCTAGCAGGGGTCAGAGGCAGCAGTGAATCTAATATTCTAAAGGGTGGTCATTGTCTATTTCTGCTTAAACAGGTGATTCTTGACTTACATCTGGTTGGCTAGCAACCAGTCATGGTTGTGATAAACCTACTTGGGAGCTTCCTAAGGCCAGATTAGAAATTTCAATTCCCCTCAAGGTCACATGGCTAAACTTTGGGTGATCAGCAGCTGGACCCTCATTGATAGTTTGCAGCATTCCAGTTTACGTCTTTAACAAAAAACAGCATCTGCTTCCAGTTTTTGACAAAACCATTGGTTCATTTAAAAACTGCTGCAAAAAAGATAGTAAAATCAAGTTGGTCAGGTGACCCAGCGGTCCCCAATCTTTCCAGCTCTGCAGACTGGCAGCGTGGGGAGAACAGGATGGTCTCGTATATCCATGCACCGCTTATGCAAATGTAGTACTGGGCCACGGGCCAGGTATTGGGGACTCCTTTTGTGACCAACCCGTTTCACAATCATCACAACTTGCAACTGTGATGGACAGAGACCCCATTACCATCATAAATGAAGGACTACCTGAATTACAAGTTTTGTCTTTCCGCAGTTTTGCACATTTCAGCTACTGGCAATGGGGCAGGGGGGTAAAGGTGTGAACATATTTGTGTCACTGATTTGCATTCTTATCTGTGGCTGTCTTATGGGAGATGAATGTTTCCAGCAGACTGAATTTCATGTAGAACAGTTCAGAGGTTTAGGACTTACTCATGCTGCCGGAAGGGATAAGTCAGGGATCTTAGTGCAGTGTTTCTGTAGCTATTTCAAGTATAAAGAGACAAGCTAGTTCAATTGGATTGTTAGTTTTTGTTAAAGCTAAATCCCTTTAGTACTTTAGTATAAATAATGTTATTAAACTTATTGGAGAAGATTGATGAGCTAATGGTTCTTTAATACTGGTTTGGTTTCAGAATATCATAGGAACAATTGACAAGGTTACTATAGTTAGCTACATCTTCTAGTATGGAGCAGTCTTACTAACGTAAGCAGGTATATAACAAGTGCTCAGATGGGGTAATTATTTTCAAAGTATATGTGAGATCTGCAAGAGGAAATCAAAAGGCCTTGGGAATGGACATTAACAGCTGGAAAACTTTGACCTCTGATTGTTCAGCTTGGAGGCTAAAGATGCAGCATGGCCTTCTCCAACTTGAAGAGATATTCGGCAGGCTGAGGCAAAGAGCCAGTCTCAGAACCAGCGAAATCTGGGGGCTGGACAGGGGACTGTTATCTGTCCTCAGTGTGGAAGGGATTACCATTCTCAAATTGGCCTTTTTAGCCACACTAGATCCTGTTTTAGGACCTCTTTTCAGAGCACGATACCATGGTCTTGAGATTGAAGGATGCCAATATATATAAAATACAATATAATATGTGAGAGGTAGGTAACCTGTGGGTCGTAAGTGGCTGGCCAGCATCTTGTCTGTGGTCCCCCAGAGGAAGTACGGCTGGAACATAATGCAATGTTCTTAGCTGAGGATCTTGGCACATTTGAGAATCTCTTGTCATTCTTAAATATCAATAAAAATTTACTTTTTTTCTCCAGAGGTTAAGGGCTCCTCATTGCTTTTTCTGGTGATGGCAGCACCAAATGAGCTGCTAAGCGGCATGAAGCCAAGGACTGAGAAAGCTTACTATCAGTTAAGAGGATCATGTCTTAATTTTTTAATCTACAGGGCAAGCTAAAGTCTTGTCTGAGATGGAAGTCTTGGAAACACCCAAATTCGAAGGTGGATGTATGTTGCATGCCCAAACATTAATATATATATATATCAAGAGATACGTGTCTTGATTGAAAACTAAAGTACAGTTCAAAGGCCTTTATTACAAATGGGGTCATTTTTTTTTAACCATTGAAAATTACACTTAATTTGGTTATACTAAACAAAGCAAAAGTACCTTTCTCTCAACCATAGACTATTGGGACTGGATCAGAAACACTAAACCAGATAAGAAAAGACTACACCTTAGCTTTCAGTGCCCCTTAGAAAACAAAACAAAACTTAAGAGAACACAAGACAGCTAGTTACTTTATATTGCTCTACATTCTCCATCTTTGCAACCTCAAAGGGCTTTGGTTTAATACAGATAGAATTCCAGTATTTCAGCCTTTTGCAGCACCTTTTAAAGCATTTATGCATCAAGGCCTTTCTTTCAGAGTTGGTTAGCATGTTGGATTTAATCACCAGAAGCAGCCTTGGAGCATACAAGTATGACAGTATTTCAGTCAGGCCTTTGCAACACCTTAAAGCAGAATGTCCTTTCGTAGGATCATCTGTGGGCATCAATTATACAATTCCACAAAAAAGATGTAGCCTCTTTTTCCTTCATTTCTCTTATCAATTCAAAGGAGTCTCTAATAATGCAACATACCTATCTATCTAAAAAGTATCTGAAAAGGGATTGTAAAAATGTCGTGCTTTTATTGTGCATTATTAATCTTTAAATCAAGCAAGGCAAAAAATATAAGTATTATTGCAATGTTCCTGTTCTTGTTCTCCCTGCCCCATTTTGATTAACTTTTCCATTAGAGTTTAGTTAAAGTGCTCCAAAAACAGATGCTGCTGGGAAGTTCTGGAAATTGAAGTCCACACAGTTTCAAGTTGCCCAGCCCTGCCCACTGTTAGAGTAGACGTTCATTTGGAAGGTATCTCCCACTAAGTTCCACTTCCTCCATATAAATCCAATTTCAGTATGCTGACATACACATTATCGGTTCTTTTGCCTTTTCCTACCTCATACAAACCAATGGACTCTACTGCCTGGACTCCTAAATCCTCCATCGTAGGAGCCCAAGCTAAGCCTGATGGGAGCTGTGGCATTCCCTTCCTAGGAGGAATTTTCACGATGGTCAAATGGAACTTCCCTTTGGAAGGAGGGCAAATCACAGTCAAGCCCTTTTTAGTGAAGCCATTTTCCAGATTTTGAGCCAGGGCTCCCAGTTGGGGTACAGGGTCTGGTGCCAAGTACAAAACCCGTGAATTAAAAGTCTCCACATTACGGAAGGAGAGAAGCAAGACTGGAGGCAGCAGTCGCTGAAAACCAGCCTGAAGTTCTTCCAGAGCCATCATCGCTTTGTGGATTTCTTCAGGGGTATCCAAATGCAACAGGCAAAGTGTAATATGCAGTGTAGCTCTGGGCACACAGAAGGGAGCGTAATCTGAGCTGACAGCACACACAGCCTCCTGGAAAAGTTTCACAACTTCCCGGATTTCTGGGCTGGTGATCGGGATAGCTATGAAATGGGTGGGGCGCTCCTTCGGATAGGTGAAGCTCCTCCCTTCCCTCTTTTCCAAATCCAGGTTTTCTCTCTTTACCATAACTGGTTCATTTTCTATTCCGATAGCACAAGCATGTTTGAATTCTTCACACTTAACTGAGCCGATTGTCTCTTTTCCCTTTTCTTTGCTGGATACATTTCCTTCTTGGTTGTTGGACATGTCTTCAGCCAATTCCAAATTATCCCCTGCTTCACCCAAAGCCATCACTAACTTCTCTCCACTACTTGTCCCATTCAACTCTTTCTCTTTGGCTGCATCCCCATCTAACTGTTCTTCGACTTGGGGGCTATTTGGAAAATTCAATAATTCCTTCTTAGCTTGGGTGTCTTCTTCCTTCATCACTTCTAAGATGGTTTTCCCACTTCCTGTGGACCCAAAAACGTCATCGGTGCGACTGACTTTGTCCCAAACCACACGGTCTCTGTATTTAAAATACTGGATCCTATGTTTAGGGATAGCTAGTACACCAGGACCAACTGACGCTAGATCCTCCCACGAGAAAGAAGTAAAAGATTCCTCCAAGATGCCCAAGAACCGGTCAAGGTAGCCAATAGAAAATTGTTCAGCAGGTACCTGTGTATCCCAGAGGAGTCGGGAAATGACATCCTCAGCTGTCTTCATGGCAGGTTTCTTCCCTTCTGTGAGCGGCAAGGAAGGAACATGAACAAGTCCACAATCTTTTAAATGGTGAACCTCACCACCATCACCAGGATGATAGTTTTGGCAGCGGGCACCAAAATGGCAGCGTCCCTCCAAGAAAAAACGACAGGGAGGGTTGATATTAGAAGATGACTCTTCAGTCAAGGATGAGTCTGGATCTTCTGATGGCTCCAGAAGACTTTCAGAAGGGTGGTCAGTGAAGTCCTTTCCAGAGGAGACAACTAATTCATCCATCGCTGTATGGAAGAAAGAATTAAAATCAGAAGAACAAAGGTGGATCACGTGCAGATTCACTTGCTGCCCCAGGGACAGTTCATAGCAGAAAAACAATTATGGGATGAGTGGGATTGTTGAGCTGAGCAACACACTTTAAGGGCAAACGTAATGGCTCTAGGCAGCGTGATGATGAATCATGAACCAGGAAGTTGGTCAAAAAAAAATCCAAGTTCAGGGGTGTGCCAAACTTTTCCCATGGAGACGCTAACAGAATATGCTACAGTCATGGACATCAATGAATTATTCTGCCCTGTTAATCTCTCAGATTGAAGCCTCCCAACATATTAATTCAAGGCACTCTTCTTTTTTTAACAATGTTGGGATTTCAGAAATTTGGAAACTGAGGCATTCACCTCCGTTGCTAATTGTAATCTGTACAGTATGTCCATACCCCACAGCTTTTCAAGCACCTTGATTAAATTCAATCCTTTATTATTATTATTATTGTGGGCATACATAAAGACACCACAAAGTAGTTTAATAGTCACTGTTTTCCCTTTAGCCCAATATTTTTTCAACCTCAGCATGTTCAGACTTCAACTCCCAGAACTGAAATCAGTACATTTTAAAGTAGTTAAAGTGATAAACAAAATATGGAACATCAGAGTTGAGGTAACAGAACAAATTCCTAAACCAAAATTAATTTTGACTAAAGTAACCCATCTACCATTCCTGTACTTCAGTTCATTTGCCATTTTTTATGTTTTATTGCAATTTCTTTTGATTCTTATGAACCATCCAGGGTCAGGCAGCATCCTATGATTATGATGATGATTATGATGATGATTTATTATTATTATATATTTGGTGAGATTCACAGCCTTTGGGGCTGGTTGGTAGCTCAACAGCTCAAGTCCTAACCAAGGACCTAGAAACTATTAAGGTAGCACCAACTATTATTATCATTATCATCATTATTATTATCTTTTATTCATTAAACATGAAACTCAGTCAACTGAACATTTAAAAATGTATCACAAATATTGACTGGCACTGATGATTGATATGGATTGCTGCCAGCATATTGTTATTGATTATGACTATGACTATGACTATGACTATGACGATTATTATTATTATTATTATTATTATTATTATTATTATTATTATTATTGGAAACTGAAGGCATGAGCTCACTTTTTAAATCACTTTGCCAGTTCTGCTCTACTCATGGGTCCCCACTCCCCTCACAAAGTGTCGCTGCTGTTACTATTTTACCTATAATGTCCATCACACACTCTGAAATTTTCCTATACTCTCAGTAACGGGAGCTTGGGGCGTATCCTTTTTATTCCCCCCCCCCCCCCACGCTCTTTTATCAGCTGATGTTTCTTCCTCGCTCGCTCTCTTTCTCCCTCATCCACACATGCACGTGTGAATGCCGATAGGGAAGTACTGGGTTCTGGATGCCTGGTTATTTTAGCTCCTCGCGCTTTTTAAAATCCAAAGCAGCAGGGTGGGGGCGGGGGGTGGGGAGAGGGGAAAACAGAAGGTGGATCGAGTTAGGGGAGAAATCTCCTACCTTTCCTCGATCGCCCCCACCCGCTTCCGGGTCTGAATTTCGGGCGAAACTCGAAACCTGATGCCCGAAGTGACCGCTCCCCGCCACCACCTCCGATTTCCTTGTCCCGTTTATGGGTAGGTGGAAAACAAGGAAGGGACTCGCAAACAAACTGAAAAGCATTGTGGGGATATTCACAGGTTGGGCCCGTTTTCATTGCCAAAGCCAGCAGAGGGCAATGCTTCACCAACTTTACGCAGCCCTTATTTGCGATCGATTGCTACATTGGGCCCGCTTCCCAAAGCAAATGGAGAAAGGGTTAGGGACCTTTTAGGCAGATATACACACGTGCCTTCTGCCCTGAGAGCGATTTGGTTATTATTTATTTGATTTTTTTTTTAATCTCGCCTTCATTGCTTTATAAGTAACTCAAGGTGGCAAGCATACTTCATTCTCCTTCTGTTTTCCCCACAACAACTCTTTGAGGTGGATGGGACAGAGAGAGAGCAACCGGCCCAAAGTCACCCAGCTGGTTTTCATGTTTAAGGTGGGACTAGAACTCACTGTCTTTGATTGACTGACTGAGATTGATTGATTTGACTGATTGATTGATTCACTCATTCTAGTATGTGCCATCAAACCACTGTCAACTCTTACATAGATCCCCTGTACTATGATCTGTCGCTAACCTGTTCTTTCAAGTCTCTCACAAGGGTGCATCCATAACTGACTTCCACCATTTTGTTGCTGGGTGTCTTCTTCTCCTCTTCCCTCACCTTTCCCAGCATCTTTTCCCAAAGAGCTGAATCTTTGCATAATATATTCAAAACAGGATGATCATCTGGGACTCCGAGTGAAAATTCTGAGTTGATTTATTGTATAATCTGATTGTTTTCTTAGCTGTCCTTGTTATTATCAGGAGTCTTCTCCAACACTGAAGTTCAAAAGCATCAATGCTCTTCCTATCGTGCTAAAAAAAACGCATCAGCTCTTTTCTCCTTCCCTACCAATTTTTTGATCTGGGCTTTATAATAGTTGCCTTATAATAGTTGCAAAAATAGGCTGTTGGCTGCCTGTTGGGCTCTGCTAAAATAATTACCCAGAACTTCTCACTCAGGCTGAATTTGAGTTGGGATCTAATCTTATCCCAAAGGACATGACGACAATTTTAAAAAGAAAACTTCCTCAAATGATAGGCTTAAGTGGCCTTTCTTCACCACTGAGTCATTTCTCACACTTTGCCCATTAAGGAGAAAGGTTTGAGAAACAGGAATGGAATTCCCAGACTGTTCTAGGACTTGGCTCCACCTTCTTTCAAAGAAATCCATGTAGTGTAGGTAGTCCTTGACTTACAACAGTTCACTTAGGGACCGTTCAAAGTTACAACGGCACTGAATAAAGTGACATTATCATTTTTCACAGTTACAACCTTTGCAGCATCCCCATGGTCACATGATCAAAATTCAGACACTTGGCAGCTGGTTCATATTTATGATGATCCCAGGGTCACGTGATCTCTGTTTGCCACCTTCCGACAAGGAAAGTCAATGGGGAAGCCAGATTCACTTAACAACTGATTTACTAACCTAACAGCTTTAGTGATTCACTTGACAATTGTGGCAAGAAATGTGGTAAAATAGGATAAAACTCACTTAACAAATGTCTCAATAACATAAATTTTGGACTCAGTTGTGATCATAAGTCGAGCGTGTGTATGTGTGATGCACAGAAAAAACAGACAGGGCTTTGATGCACCATTGTAGCTTTTTTGACCTTATTTTGTGGACACCCCTGTATCACCATCTTCCATGAGTTTGCCAAAAGTCCAATCTAAATAAAAAAATTCCCCAATTAATTCTCTTCCTTTTTTTGTTTCATACAAAGGATTTATTCTTTTCACATAATGGTTTGAGGCTAGGAAAGGAAGTATGATCAGAAAGAAATGAGGAGAACCCAAATAAACTGGATACATAAGATAAAATAACAATTTTGATTAGAGTTTACGGATCACAAACATAAAAGACTAATACAAACAAAGATAGATATGAAACGTAAACATGAAGAAAAGAAAATGTGAAGAGATAGAGTAAAAGAAAATAAAAAGTAAGAAACAAAAATATATAAATGATGATACCCCATTTCCTCTGGGCAATAAACAACTTCAGTAATTTAACACTTTCTCTAATATTTCAATTTTAAAAACACACCTGCTTTCCATATCTCATCCCTTATCAACAATCACATTACAGCAATAGCACTTAGACTTATATACTGCTCCATAGTACTTTACAGCACTCTCTGAGCAGTTTACAAATATCAGCATATTGCCCCCAACAAACTGGGTCCTCATTTTACCAACCATGGAAGGATGGCTGCTTCAATCTTGAGCCAGTCAGGATTGAAGTTCTGGCTGTGGGCAGAGTTACCTTGCAATACTGCATTCAAACCACTACACCATCACAGTTCTTTTATAATAAAAATTCATCATTTTGAGGGAAGGCGGGGCTGGCATCACGGCGGTATGACGTGCGATCTTGAAGGTTCAAGATCGCCGTCAATATCTTTGCCGCTGGACGGTCCTTTTGGACCTAAACTGTCTCGTAGAGATGGTGATAGAGAAGGGCACATTCTGCAAAGTCCCTGGTTGATCCAGGAGAAGCCCTTTTTTCCGGCGGCAGAGAGGCAGCCATTGAAGTTGCTGAAGCTGGGACAGCTCCGAACAGAAGAAGAAAGTGGAAAGAGAAAGTGTTTGGTGAGATAACTTTTAAATACTTCTATTTCAGAGAACACGTTGAAAGGAAAAAAGAAAAAGTTTAAATTGAAGACAGAAGTGAGTAAGCGGCGAAATTAAGCCTGAAGTCAAAACTAGTGTTATTTTTTTTTTTTTTATTGCTGGACTTTTTACAAACACCTTTTAACTTTAAAACTGGACTGGTGTTTTTTTCTTGCTTTAATAATTACTTAACAATCCTTTTAAGTGAAAGATATTTTCTTTCTTCTTCTTTTAAGTGCCTAACTGTATAGTTTTCAATTAATTTTTACTTGTTAAAATACTTCTAACCTTTTTTTCTTTTTGTTTTGGATGGAAGGGGGGGAGTGAAAGTAAAGGATAATAAGTAACACTGCCATCTAGAAGCTGGGAAACATTGTTTTCTTTCTCTCCTTTCTGAGGCTTGATAACTTTGAGAATAATAAGAGCTGGTGTTTTATTTCAAGGACTTTGAGCCTGTTTGTTATAAGATAGTGGGATAAGCATGGAAGAACATTCTTCAAAAAGCACTTTCTTTGATAGAAAGTCAGGCTTTCTTGTACTCTTTCTTTACCTCCCCCCCCCCAGCTATTTTTGCTCAGCTGACACCTGTGATTGTGGCCTTTTGGATGGAATTATTTATTTATTTATTTATTCTTTTTCAAGGGGAAATAGATTTTTTTCTGCTTTCCCTTAAATTGATTCTTTTTTTTTCTTTCTCTTTTTTAAATTATAAGTTTTTCTTTTTGATTATGATTGCCCTTTTTACTTTTGATTTTTACTTCTTCCTTCTTTCTCTTTTTTGAAGTGCTTTTTGAAGAATGTGCATTTCCTTTTTTCTTTTTATAGTGTTTATGTTGTGTGTTTTTACTTCCTTCTAATTGGGAAACATAATTTTTACCTGCGTCTCTTTTTTTTTCTATTTTGGAGATTGTTCATGGTATTGTCTGGTCCATTCTACCCCAATCAATTGGATTAAGGTATAGAAGAACCTGAAGAATTTTATTCTTATCTCTTTTATTGTGATTGAGCTGTTAATTTTTTTTCTTTTCCTTTTTGGCTTTTTTCTAATTAACTAGAACTAATTGAATTAGGGTGTACAAGAACCTGAAGAATTTTTCTTTCTCTTTTCTTTTTCTTTATTTTACTGCTATTTGGGATTATATTTGCCTTACATATGAATGGATTAAGGTGTAGAAGAACCTGAAGACTTTTTATCGCCCGAGATTCTACAACTATTGTGAAATAAGTAGAAAGATAACAACTACTGGCTCTTCAATACCAACTTCTTCTTCACCATCTAGAGGACAACGATCAATACAGGCGATGTTATAGCAGTAAAAGGAATGAGAAAAAGACAAGGAGGTGACTTTGCAGATGATCTGGCAAGGAATTCAAAAAATAGAATCAAGAATGGAAACAATTGAACAGAAAACAGAAAAAACAAATGAAAAGGTTGAGAATATTCACCAAATGATGACAAAATATGAGGACAGATTTCAAAAAATCAAAGAAAAAGATGAACAAAGAGATAAGAAAGTTGGACATATTGACAACAGATTGAGCATGGTTGAACAAGACAAGAGTGAAATGTTGGGATGGGAGATTGACAGATCAGAATTTTATCTCAGATTTCAAAATATAGAGGAAGAAAGGGGAGAAATGATGTTTTATAGGTGGCACTTACCCCCGACGAGAATAGCAAGAATGTTTAAGAATAAATCCAAAAAGTGGTGGAAATGTCATCAGATACCAGGTTCATTTTACCATATGTGGTAGACAGGTGTAGAGGCGAAAAGATACTGGACTAAAATCCACACATGGTTGGAAAAAATGACAAAAAGACATACTGATTTTAAACCAGAAATATTTTTATTGGGTATCTTACCAGAAATATATAGTAGAGATTTGAAATATTTGATTGTAAATGTATTAACAGCGGCTAGAATTGTATTTGCTAAAACCTGGAAAAATGAAAAAATACCAACGCAGGAGGAAGTTATTAAGAAAATAATGGAGTATGCTGAAATGAGTAAATTGACATTTGAAATTAGAGAACAAGAAGACAAACAATATCATAAGATATGGGATTTATTTTATCAATGGTTGGACAAAAAATATGGAAATGAAATATTTTAAAATCTTCATAATACAAGGATAATAGAACTATAGTGAATATAGCATAAGGAGGTATTACTATTACTATTAGATTGATTTACGATGATGTAATGAATGCTATAATAAGTATAAAGTCAAAATGTTGTATTTCTTGCATAAAATGAAAGAATAATAGTTATAGTCAAAAATAATGATTAATAATGATAAATAACATATATATATATATATATTCATATATTTTCTTAAGTTTTTGCGGGTACTTACATGTATGGTATTCAGCTTTGTTCAGGTATTTTCCCACGTCATTAT